CCCAAAGAAGGAAAACATGTTGACTGATGTTTAGCTTATTATCTCATATTCTTGTTAAACACACAAGCAAAGATATTGATCCTGGGGCTGGTAATGAGGCTGCAGGGAATTAAAGGAAAACTAATTAAATGGGACCAAAGGGAATCAAGGAGGGAAAGCAGTCAACTGATAACTGAGGGAAACTTTAAATAGCATTCATTCATTCATTCATTCATTCATTCATTCAGATGAACGGATCAAGAACTTATGTTTGTATTTACTGCTGTAGAGAGTATTTCAGGCATCTAAATATAAAAATGGCATTTAATCCAACTGGAGAAATGTGAATTTAGGCCCAAACAAATTCTCTAAGATACTGTTTTAATGGAGGAAGGGATTTCAGTGGAGGGAAACAATGGTTGCACTGCACTCTGGTCACGTTCTCAAGGCTACATCTTACAGTTGTTCCCACTCTGTTGTTTCAATTCTCCCTAGTGGATATTACATTTCCCCTTTCTCAGTAGCTTCCCCCCACCCACACTTTCTTTCTTCTTTATGTCATCTCCTTCCCATTTACCAAATTGCTGTTGCCTCTCTTTACTCTTTCCATAGAGGCTCACTTCAAGCACTAGGAATAATGGAAAAAAAAGAAGAAAGTGTAGATGGTCAAAATCAGGTAAAACTTCTCGGTAGTAGCTTTATTGAACTGCTGAATTTGCTCTCAGGGGAAGTTCAGGAAGACCTCATTTATGAAATTAAAAATTAGGCAAATGTAGTGCAGTGAATAATTCTTCCGCAGCAGGGGGATAATGTAGATGATACCTTTTTATTTCTATCCTCTTCAACAAAACAGGATGAGAAGATTTTCTGGGTGTTTCTGTTAAAGTATTCAACAATAAAATAGCTATCCATGACTATCTAAACTTTTATCATTAGACCTAAATTGTCATTATCCTAAGGAGATGAATGACATATGACACTTATTTCAGGTTGCCACACTGCAGAGACAAGTTCAATGATTCACACTGGGGAGACTTTATCAGCAGGCACAAAGAATAAAAAAATGATCTTTTAAAATGAAAGCTTATACTCTGCACAAAGTTGCAAGGTCATTAAAATGCAAAAGAGATGCTGTGGCTCACTTCAGATCCTCTTCAGAGATGAGAAAAGACTGGGTAATGACACATGTTGGGGATACACCTTGTCACTCCTACTGTTCCATCTTGTTACAAATACTTAGCTGAGCAAATAAGAATTAACAGAATGAACCCAGGACTGCATTTGTGAACAATGGAGCATAAAATTGCTCTGTAAGCTGATGCTGTACAACTGTTTCTCACTCAACCTCTCATATCTGTACCTAAAAAAATGTTAGAATTGCTTCGATTTAGATTTGCACTTATATACAAACTAAACCTATGAAAACAATGATGCTCCCAGTAGGATCAACCCATTGTAAAATCAGTGATCTAAAAAGAAGCTCATCTGGTTTTGTTGGCATGAAACACAATTTAAATACCTAGAAAAACAGGATATAAACCAGATAAAGGACTTAAACAAAGGCAGACCTTTTGCCTTGATTTGAAATATTATTTATAATAGGCATTGAGAATCGATCAAGGGAGAGGGAAGACATGGAGTGAACATAAGGCTATGCAACTACTGCTGATTTTCATTTCCCTTCCTCGCCCCAAACACCTGCAAGCTCTCCCCTAGAAAATAAAATGAATAAATAGGTGGCAAGAAATACAATTTCATGTAGTCTCTTCTTTACTGACACTCATTCATTCTCATATAACCATGAGGGGAAAAAATTTCTTGAATCACTGTGGGTTTTTTTGTTTTGTTTTTAATCCTGGTATGATATAAATTCATGACATTTTGTAAAATAAAAATATAGAAATATAAACACATAACAATAGAAAAATATAAAATATTCTCTGGCAATATTTATTTATATATTTGCGCGCGTGTGTGTGTGTGTGTGTGTAGACAGTAAATATTCAGTATACAGAGAGGCATGATTTTGTGGCAGTTTGAAATTGTTATTTAAATCTCAAATTTTATAAGGTCTCTGCATATTGTACACTAACTGCTGGTTGGACCTCACTAGTCTGGCACATTGGGATCTGAGTGGTCCTGGATGAAGCAATTTGTCTGACCAGGGACAGTCCTCTGCCCCCCAGCTTCCTTAGACTACTGCCCCTTCCTGCCACTGGCTCCTTTGGCCCGGTTACCAGCTGGGCGACATGGCTGCCCCAACTCCGCTGCCATAGCTGCTTCTCCAGCCCCACTGCCAGCATGACAACATGCAGTCCTGCCCCACTGCCATGGTGTAGTGGTCAATTGCAGAAGAACTTTGTATGTGCTAGTTTAGGGGTGGTGAGATCTGCATTCTTTCCCCCCTTTCCCTTTTCCCTATATCTGATGAGCCAGAAGCAAGTCTTTGGGAGCATAAGTCGGACTTTAGACTTACTCTGTCCAGCTACACATGGCACCAGTCCTGCTGCCAGCTGGCATGTGGCCTTGATTGGGCTGCCAACCTGGCACGACCCCAGCTGGGTTGCTGTGACCCCTTTTCCACTACTGCGGCTGTAAACAGGCTTCCTCTGCTTGGCTACTATGGCCTAGCCTTGTTGCCATCCAAGCTGCCACCCACTTGAGCAGCTGCGACACAGCCCCGCTGCCGGCCCAGCATGCACAGGCTGCCCCTTCCCCACTACCGCAAGCCCTGCTACCATCGCAGGGCTGCTGAGGCCCTGGCCCCTCCACCATCAGCCTCACCTTTCATAAGGTTCTCAGCCGCTGGCCCTCCTGCCGTGGGGCTCTTTTGTTCAGCAACAGCCATGGTCCTACTGGACCATGGATGTTGCCAGATGAGAGAGGCCCGGTTTAGGAAGGTGCAACCTGTAGTCATAAATTATAAATTACATAAAACAAATCCTTTAAGTGAATGTATTATATTTTGACTAAAGAACATACAACTCACAGAGTTCCAAACATACCTGATACAGGGCCAGATTTAGGTAACATAAGAACATTTTAGATCATTAAGAAGAATTAATGTCTTTATAACTTGACCTGATATCTTTAACACGTTATATCTTTCTGTACATCAATATGTAGACTTTAGCTTGGAAACGTCTCCACATAACTGTTATATCTGATCAGTCCTTTGCTTTTTTTACTGTCATGTCTCTCTTAAGAGACAGTTGCTTTTCCGTCTCTCATCTCTACTGAGATATTCTATATCCTACTGGACTGCAAGTCACTTAAATAGGTCAATTAAGATTTAGGGATTTCGGGAATGGCCTGCTGTTAGTCCCACAGGCCATTACTGAAAGATCTGCCATCTCACTTTCAGTTGATTTTGAACTACCAATCCTTTTTGGTTATGGTTAGCCCAGGAAAATCACTTCACATGCCCAAGTTCACAACTTTTATAACCACACAGCTGTCATCAAACAAGAAGTTGCATAGTAAGCAACATGCATGATAAAAATGATTTATAAAACAATGTTTGCCTATTGACAGAGCAAATACTAAAGGTAAATAGAAAATAGGACTATATATATATATATATATATTGCAACTGACTAGTTTCTTTATAATGTAAGGTCCCAGCTATTAGGTGTTTTAATGTATCCAAATACACAATTTCATGCCCCTGGTTTCTTTCACACTGACCATCTATCTAGACTTATACTTCTCCTTTTATACTTCAGTGACCTCCTGGTTACATCCAGTGACGTGATACCAAATGGTATGATCACTCTATAGCATATATAGAAGTTAAGACAAGTGCAATGAGAAAACTTATATTTGTTGAGTCAAAATTATTACTTTTGCTGGTGGCAATTTTGTCCGTCCATCATATTTAAGTATGCTACAGTGTGTTGGGAAAGCAAGTACAGTTTTAAGTATCTGTGATCTACTTTTTTCCTGCTATTTTAATAAACAAATAGACACATATTTGTAAGTCATTTTGCCTTTAAATGAAGATCCAGGGGATGGCATCACTTCCTACAATGAATCAGTGTGTTTTTTTCTTGTTTCTACTCTGCATTATTTGTTTTCAGTAAGATGGGATGGCACGACCTACCTGCTATTTTAACCCTAACAGAGGTGTGCTTCAAGTTACAGTCTAATAGATCAGGAGCCTCCATGTATTTTATCACAATCATTTTAACACTACTCTTAATTCAGCGACATTTATTAATAAGGAGTAGATCCCACTCAGTAAAAGATCATGGGAAGATCATAAAGGAAACCGAATAGGAGTTCAAGAGCTTCAGAGGGGTAGCCAAGTTAGTGTGAATTGTTTAAACCTGCTAGATGAGAGGAGAAATACTAAAATAATATACTGACCGAACAGAATCATATGACTACCTATTAAAGAGCTGGTGAATTTACAATGATATAAGAAAGTCCTTCTTCATTGCAAACTATCTCTGGGTCAGAATTTCTAAACTGAATTTCAAACATGTAGAAAATACACAATAACAAGACAACTTTCAAAGGTAGTTCAGGTAACTCAGAGAACAACTAAGATTATTTACATTTCATTCGCACATGAAGGTGCCCTTATAAGTGTTTCACACCACAAATACACACAATGGCATATTATTTTACTTTCCGAATATTCTTTTATCACATACTGTGTAATCTGATACCAGCCCTGTCATTTACTCAAGTATGAGATATTATTAAATATTTAGAGTTGAAAAAAAAACATTGTTACTTGACCTATATTAAAACAAAATCTCAAAGTTTTTTGTCAGTTCTAAATTTTCAGTCACATAATTAGCATACATATCTGGAATTAAAAACCTGTTCATAAGGAATAACAGTAACTATTATGCATTTCAAATATACAAATGTTCCACATTTCTTTTTATTCAATTGTGTACTAAGCAATTTATTTTAAAATAAAGTATTACCGTTTTCCATTAAACCTCTTCTCAACATTCAAACAAATAATATAGAGCAAAACATGCTCCCATGATGAATGAAATACTTACACTTCTGTATTTCACGATATATTCCAATATGGGGGCTCCTCCATCATCCTGTTTAGTTATGCTAAGTTTAAAGCTCTTTCCACTGCCTGGTTGTCCATGAATTGATGGAGGGCTTGGCTCGCCTAAGCATTGGGGAGAAGAATAGAAATTCTATATTTCTATTTTATGTGTTTTATTTACATGTTTACTTTTACTATTTGATTGTCTACAATTATTAATCAAAATATTCACAAGCAAACATGATGTTTTCAAGCTTTCTGTAACATACTCAATGATCATGATTGCTGTCATGTTTGTTAAAAATATATCAAAGATTTATACATTAAAAATAAAAGGGATTTAAAATAAAAATAGTATCAGTCTCCGTGATTTCATATATTCTTGCTCTTCAAAACTTAACTCTTTAAAAACAACTCCATATGCAGGCACTAATTTAGAAAAGCAGATGGTTAATTTTAAGCACATAAGTGCATCATTCAGCAAATCATTATTCACCTCTTTAACTTAAAACATGTGGGAATTAATCATTATTAACAGACAATAAACTGTCATAAACATTCACAATAAACTGTCCAAAAGCAAACCTGTGTCTCTTTTATATTATTCAATATTATCGTTTCATTAAGAATGAATCTGAAGAAAATAATTTTATAAGATCTTCAAACTTATCAAATTTTAATTCAAACACACTATATTTTTATAATAAATCCACCGGTTGATGTTGCCCTGGTTGATTCTTATAAAGAGGTGTTATTATCACTGGAATATTTAAGCTGAATTTTTTATCACAGTAAATTTTTAAATACAGAACTGAAGTTGGCAGTGCTAAAAGGAAAGCTGTGTTTTGGTGTGCTGGAGCTCAGGTTCATGGTTATCAGACAGCTTTCTTTGATAGGATAACAAGCCTTGTGGATAAGGGGGAAGTGGTAGATAATATACCTAGTCTTTAGTAAAGCATTTGATATGGTGTCACATTTCCTTCTTATAGATAAACAAGGGAAATACAACCTAGATGGGGCCACTATAAGGTGGGTGCATAACTAGCAGGATAACTGTTCTCAGAGAGTAATTATCAATGGTTCACAGTCATGCTGGATCAGTTTTGCAATTGGTTCTTTTCAATATCTTCATCAACAATTTAGATAATGGCAAAAGCATGCGTTTAAAGTTTGTGGATCATATCAACCTGGGAAGGGGTGCAAGTGTTTTGGAGGATAGGGTTAGAATTCAAAATAATCTAGACAAACTGGAGAAATGATTTGAGGTAAACAGAATTAAGTTTAATAAGGACAAATGCAAAGTACTCCACTTACGGAATAAGTATCAGTTTCATATGTACAAAATGAGAAGTTACTGTCTAGAAAGGAGTACTGCAGAAAGGGATCGGGATTATAATGTGAGTCAAGAGAGTGACACAGTTGCAAAAAAAGCAAACATTCTTAGATGCATTAACAGGAGTGCTGTAAGCAGCACACGAGAACTGATTCTTCCACTCTAATCTGTAATAATTAGGCCTCAACTGGAGTATTGTGTCCAGTCCTGAGCACCAAATCTTAGGAGTGCTCAAGAAAAACTGGAGAAAATCCAGAGAAGAGCAACAAAATGATTAAAGTTCTAGAAAACATGACCTATGAGGAAAGACTGAAAGAAGTATCTAAAAGAGTATTACAGAGAAGAGGGAGAAAAAACATTCTCCTCAACCTCTGATGACAGAAGCAGCAGCAATGGACTTAAATTGCAGGAAGGGTTAGGTTTTAGAGAAAAAACTTCCTGTCAGGATGGTTAAGCACTGGAATAAATTGCTGAGGGAGTCCATGGAATCTCTATCACTGGAGATATTTAAGAACAAGTTAGATAAACATCTTCAGGGATGATCTAGATCAGTGGTTCTCAATGTGGGCCATATAGCTCCCCAGGGGGCCACACCTTACTTCTATGGGGCCACATGAAAAAACCCAGAAGATTAGGGGGCCACAGTAAGTTTCTGAGGGGGCCGCCCAAACTTAACTGCCAGGCGTATGATGAATGAGGCTTAGAAGGGGGCCATGAGCAAAAAAAGGTTGAGAAACACTGATCTACATGGTTCTTGATCCCGCTGTGAGGGCAGGGGACTGGACTTAATGAACTCTTGAGGCCACTTCCAGTTCTAGTTCTATGATTCTATGTTCTGTTAGATCTTTACTCTGATTATCTGATCCCTTTCTCACGCACGCACGCACACATAGAGAGAGTGTGAGAGAGAGAGAGAGAGAGCACTGCCATGTATAAGAAACTTAAACTTTGAATATTTCAGAGAGGAAGATCTTTGTGTATTTCCGTAATAAAGTTTTGCCTAAAAACTGTTTTTCAAAATTATTTTGATTTGTAATCAGTTTTTTTCTTTCATGTTTTTTCTTATGTTTTAACCAAGAAAAAAAGAAAAAACAACAACCCTGTTTTCTAAATGAAAACAATTTTACTCAAAATATATTTTAACTTTTGACTTTTCATTGAAAATTCGAAAGAAAAATCTGAGGAAATGTTAGGGAAATATCTTCTTTCAAAATTTCCCAGAAAAACCAATATGCATTTATGAACTATTTCCACCTTTTCTGAAACACAGAATGAAGCAGCTTGAACACACTGAGAATTAGACATAATTGCTATGAACAATTGCACTATATGACTGAGCCATGCAACCCTGAAATTGAAAAGCTTTCTATGAAACTCCTACCAAAAGCAATCATGATTTCAACAGCTGAGAAAAAACAAGTTGGTCCAGTCAACACATCCTAAAGTACTTACACATCTATTTATTCTTTTCACCATAGTCTTGCAAACAAATGTGTACTCATTACTGTGGTATCAGAATCCACCTAAAATAACTAACATTATAGGGATTCACATTTCGAAACTAAATGCAAGATCCAAAACCCATTGAGATTAATGGAAATCATTTCATTTATATCAATGAGCTTTGGATCTGAATCCAAGTAATTATGAACAGTCATTTAGGAGTACTCTGGCTTCACATTTATTTTGAAATATTGCAAACCAGACATGATTTTAAGTATCCTAGGTATTTTAACCCCTAAATTAACCTACTAGGTATGAGTAAGCATGGCAAATATTGGCCCAAAGGCAACAATATATGTTTTTTGCTATAACTATTTATCGAAGGAACAAACATTAGGCATAGCCCAGACCAACTTCTAGGGCCCACACTGCCAGTGACTGTCTTCTGGGTCTAAGTGACTGTCCCAAGAGATGGATTAGTAAACAGCCAATTGGACCTGATAAAAGTTACCCAAGCTCAGGCACAGTGTACTCCAAAGGGAGACAGGAGGCTTCTGTGGAAGTTAATCCCCAAGGGGAGCCAGAAGGCTGAAGGGAGAGCCTAGAATTAGAGATTTCTGGTGAATTTACTAAAACATGCAGCCTGAAAGAGAACTTCTGGAGCGGCGAGCCTCCCAGATGGAGGGCTGCAACAAAAAGGCCTTCAATAGAAGTTGGTCTTTGACAGAGGTCACACAGACACAGACCAGAATATTGGCAAAGATCACTCACTATTTCTTGAGAAAAGTTACAGTGGCAGACCTCTTCAGATTCCAGAGTAGGATATGTTTTAGTAGGGGTAAGAGCCTCATTTCAAGGGCAGAGATTGGAACTAAGAGAAACCTGGATGAAAAGCCTAGGTGGAGGTAAACCTCGGAGTCAGGTAGGGGACATGGACTAACAGTGATGTAGTGTGGCCAAATCTACAAGCTTTTGTAATAATCTTTGCCCAAAGTATGACTTGTAAAATATCACTTGAAAACTCATTATTCACTGGTCAGTAATATCATGATGAAATCTGTATGGCATTATTACATGTAAAGTTATGAATTCCCTCCAAATGCCATTGATGGGGCATGTTCATACTCACATAGCAACAATTAGACACAATGGTTGTGTCTACATTGGCACCCTTTTCCGGAAAAGGGATGCTAATGAGACAAATCGGAATTGCAAATGCCACGGGGGATTTAAATATCCCCCACGGCATTTGCATGAACATGGCTGCCGCTTTTTTCCGGCTCGGGGCTTTGCCAGAGAAAAGCACCAGTCTATACAGGATCTTTCGGAAAATAAAGCCTTTTCCGGAAGATCCCTTATTCCTGATTTTAAGAGGAATAAGGGATCTTCCAGAAAAGGCTTTATTTTCTGAAAGATCCCGTCTAGACTGGTGCTTTTCTCCGGCAAAGCCCTAAGCCAGAAAAAAGCGGCAGCCATGTTCATGCAAATGCCGTGGGGGATATTTAAATCCCCCGTGGCATTTGCAATTCCGATTTGTCTCATTAGCATCCCTTTTCCGGAAAAGGGTGCCAATGTAGACACAACCATTGTGTCTAATTGTTGCTATGTGAGTATGAACATGCCCCATCAATGGCATTTGGAGGGAATTCATAACTTTACATGTAATAATGCCATACAGATTTCATCATGTATATACCTCAAATTTTTACATAAACTATAAACAAAATACTCAGACAATGAAATAGGGAAGGCAGGGGACAAAGGTGATCTTCACTGCCGCGAACAGGGCCAAGGGACAATTTGATAGGGGAAATGTTTACTGAAATGGCTAAAATCTATTCTCATTAATGTCAGTGGTACTATGAAAAACTTAAAACAACAAATAGTCTAATAGCACCTTAAAGATTAACAAAACATGTACAGTAAACTTCCGATAATCCGGCACCTTTAGGACCCAGGGGGTGCCGGATTATCAGATATGGTGGCCTATCAGAAGAGGGGGCTATGAGGGGTCTGGAATGGGGTGGGAGGGGATGCCACCCCAGACCTCTCATAGCCCCCCCTTATGATAGTCCAGCTCTGCCCCAGGCGTCCCTGATTCACCT